TTACCTCCCTGACAGTCGGTATCCTATCTAGGTTCACATCAACAGACTGCCTCGCTGGCCGAGTGGTCGCAAGTGCGACTGCCGGGGATGGGGTCTCGGTTTCGATTCCCGGGTCGGGCGAAGTATTACTGGGTTTTAAAAAATTCTCAGTAGTCGCACGGAGTTTGGAATTGTGCCCGGTATATGGCAATAGGCTCACCCCCTATTACATGGGACTCATAATATATATAGTGAAAAGTGGGTGTTACATTGTAGTGGTATAATGTATACCTCTACCTACCCCTTCGGGGATAAAAGGCGTAATGTTATGTTATGTTATCAACAGATTCCAAAAAAAATCAAACGACAAAGAATATTTTTAATCCATTTATTATTTTCATTGTAAACTCATACACTTGTTCTATCATCAACCGTTTATAATTTACGTTATACACGTCATACATCACGAGATGAGACTTATTACTAACACACTCCAAAAATTGTGAGAGACGACGGCCAATTTTTTAATTAACGGTGTCATTTTTGGCCCCAAAAGAAGACGCGCAGTCAAATCTATGTTGAAGATTAGAGGTTAACGATATCATTGAAATTAACTAGAACACGGAGCTTTTTTCTTCACATTATGTTAGTAATGTTTGAAACGTACATTAAGTAATATAAATAAAACTTTAAACAGGCACAATATTAAATATTTAACTATTAGGTACTTATAAAATTCCGTCTCTCACAATCTACGGAGCATCAAATGCATTTACTTTACGTTTAACATACTCGGGCGCACCATAATTGACTTGAAAAAGCAAAACAATCAATAAAGCGAGATTTTTCAAAATATTTAAAAACAAAAACATGTAAATTCTATCTTCAAAAATACCAATATTTATTCCCTTTCGGAAATGCTGCAAAATAATCACTTGTATTTGTAGTAACAACATAAATTATGGCACTTTGTTTTATAAAGGGAACATCGAACAGATTTTATACAAAATACACACAGAACAATTTATCAATAAAAATTCAATTTTACATTCCTTTTGGATAGTTATTTAGCAATGACTTAGCAAACCTACTGCGAAAATGCAGAACCAAACTTCCTATCTTATCTTAATTGATGCTCATTGACATTCTTATATAAATAAAAGGCTAATATTAGAAATTTCGCGTTCCTTACTTTCGCATTAATCTTCCTATTTAGGTAAATATAATTACCAATCTACGGTAACTTTATTTTATTGTAGGCAAATTAAATTCAAACAAGCTTTCCAGCTTCAAACAACTGAAGCAACTTCTATTCCCGGATTTGTTAACAAAACGCCATGTTGGTTAATTTCCCGCGCGAATCATTCAACGTTCGGATACATTGCCCGGTAAGAAATCACCTCGTAAGAACCGTAACATTTATATTACAACTGTCTAAGTGTTATTATTTACGATTATAAATAGTGTGCAGTAATTACATTGAAAAATTGTGTATTCTTACAATGTAGTAGATAGTATATTTTTGTTATTGCATATTTTATTCACTTCGTTTCAAATATACACACTATAGCGAGTCACGTCACATTACGACACCACATTTTTACGTCGTAAAAAAGAGATATAAAAATTTCGTAGTCTCAAAAGTGACTGTATAGCATTTTATTCGTTTACACCATTCAGACGAGGAAATAATCACAATTATTAACAGCCGTCCTCTTCGGTCCGATCCCAGACTACGTTGAGGATTCTGAAAGCTATTGCTCTATTATTTCATTGGCCTTAAATAACTTAATTATATAATCTTGAGGCTACTGGGACCGAACGAAGATAACTATGATATTGACGATGAGTAACTTTCTGCTGTACAAACATGAACCTTAAATACCACTAACTAGATCTTACTATAACTTAATTAAATTATGCTTTATCTTTGGCGAATACACTGCTTATGGTACCGTGAAATTTGAGAAACTTAAAGATACATTTGATCATAAAAACCGTACGAACGTCGTTGTAAAGTCTCACAAAATTCCCTATTTTAATACTGAGATACAAAACTGTTCGCTTTATAGAATAAAATGGTACCATTCTTACTTAGTCTACATAATTTAATAGATACAGCTAATAAGTTATCCTCGGAAATATTTTCTTGAAAATGATCTGTTACATATGTTACATTAAAAAGTGTTGTCGAGCGTATTTTAGGATTGGACAAAACTGCCGGTTTTTATTCATAAGCAGATTATTTTCAAGAAGAAATTCCATGAATAAACAATTTATAGTTACAGTTTCTGGTGTTATAGCAGGGCAGTACCTTCGTTTTAATTTATAACTAAACATTTTATAGACAATCTGTCAGGTTAATTCTTTTTCCACAATGGCAGTTATGATTTGCACCTTATTTACAAATAGTTAATACATTTTTTTGTTTATCGCATCTACCAATTCCACTTCTTACTAGGTCACACACGATGGAATGCTTATTGTTTATTATTTTATTTACAATTAGTTTATTAGTGTATTAGCTGTAAATAAAATAAGTTTTAATTCAAATTTAAAATTAAATAATAGTCCTAACTTATATTTACATTAGGTCCACGCAATTTAAATCAGTTTAATTTTGAGCCATAAATATGAAAGCTAAATCATTTTTATAACTATTACCCGGCAGAGATTCCAGATTCATTCAAATAATAATAATTTTTAGTCGAGAAAAGTTATAATTTATATACTGTGGAAAACCACAAAAGGGCAAACTTAAATTATATGCTACTGGTAATATTATGTACACGCTTAAGTTATTTAGAGATATACAATGCAATAAAATGTCTACTGTCGGGCTCCGAGCCGCCTACGTTTAATAAAATGTAATAGAAACACGCCAAAATAATATTTAGTTGCTTCCAATAATTTGGCAATTTTGTCCTAAAGATAGCGCTAAAAGCTTCAGTAAACTTTAACTCTAACAGTTTCAAAGTTAGACCATAGCCGGTTATTTCCTTAAAACTATATTGAGCGAAAACCCGAGTCCAAAAACATACGTAGTCTCTGATGACACAGCAGTCGTCACTATAAACTTTAACTTGAAAGTTATCAACAAAATTGATATAAAATATTGGTCGTTAACATATTTTGCTAACACAGCCTTCATAGACTTTATGATACAAACTGATAAATTAATATTTAATAAGCCGCCGCTGTTCACGTTCACTTTAACGATGAAAACGTCTTATACCGATCCAAATTTTGGACTTCCGCAATACAAGATATTTAAAAAAATAGGCCTTACATAAGATGATGACTTTAGAGAGTAGTTACAGTTGTAACGTTACCTAAATATTTGTGCTAAAATGATTTACTACAAAAATTCGAGACAGCAATCAATAAAAACTTTCGTCAAAATATTTTAACATAAATATTAGACCAGTATTCACAATAAATTACAAGGTTTGAGCAATCACGCACTGGTAGAATTTATTCGTAATACGAAACATCTGCTGGCAGAATGTTTTGTGAAGCGATTCTTTCAACGAATCACTTCTTCCGTAAAAGCAACTGAAACGATCGACGATCGATCTGTAACGTCCTTATTTTTAAACATTTGTGAGAACTTATGTCACTTGTCCATAAACTTATTCAGGATTTAATAATCACTCTGTTTCCGTTATGATCTTCATAGCGAAACGACGAGTGTCGATATAGTCACTAAGTTCGTAAGTCGGGGAACACTGAGGGTTACACAATAATGTCTTTGTAAGCCGTCAGGGGTGCACTGGGGGGGTAGTGGCGCGGCACCTGCGTCATAGGAACACGTCCAGAGGAGTTAAGGAGGCGCGTGGTCGTCCCTAGAGTTCAGTGACAGCGTACAGGTCGCGGGTGTCCTGGTGGGGCGGGTGGATGCGGTCGGCACGCTCCGACCGCTCGGGGCGCTCGGCGCGCTCGGGTCGTTCGGGGCGCTCTGGGCGCTCGGGTCGGTCCGGGCGCTCGGTGCGGTCGGGTCGCTCGGGGCGGTCCTGGCGGCGGCGGTGCGCAGTGTGCGTGGAGTGCTGCGCGGGCAGGTTGGCGCGGCGCGGGCGCTGCAGCGAGCGGTACTCCAGCGCGGCCGCCGACAGCGGCTGCGGCTCGTGCTGCTTGCGGGCGG